ATTGTGACTCACACCTGTAATCCCAGCACTTTGAGAGGCCAAGGCAGAAGGATCACTTGAGCTCAGGAGTTCAAGACCAGCCTAGACAACAAAGGGAGACCCCATCTGTACAGAAAAGTTAATTGGATGTGGTGGTACTCACCTGTAGTTCCAGCAACTGGGGAGGCTGTTGTGGAAGGATCACTTAAGCTTAGGAAGTCAAGGCTGCAGTGGACCGTGGTGCTGCCACTGTACTCCAGCCTGAATGACAGAGCAAGACTCTGTCTCAAAAAAAAAAAAAGTTGTGCAAGCACCATTTTGTTGATGAAACTATTATTTCCCCCATTTAATGCTCTTTGCTCCCTTGAGAAAATCAGTTGGCCATAGGTATATGGGATTATTTCTGAACTCTGAACTCTCTGAATTACTTCTGAATTCATAAATAATCCCATATACCTATTGCCAACTGGGTATGGTATAATAATCCCATGTACAACTGGTATAGATATATAGGTTTATATTTCTAAATTTATTTAGCCAGAACCATATTGTTTTGATTTATGTTACTTTGTAGTTTGTTTGTTTGTTTGTTTTTTGAGACAGTCTCTCTCTGTTGCCCAGGCTGGAGTACAGTGGCAGGATCATGGCTCACTGTGCATTCTCTACCTACTGGGCTCAAGCAAACATTCCACGTCAGCCTCCTGAGCAGCCTGTACTATACATGTGTGCCACCATGCCCAGTTAATTGTTTTAAAATGTTTTTATAGAGACAGGGTCCCTCTGTTGCCCAGACTGGTCTTGAACTCCCGGAATCAAGTAATCCTCCTGCGTTGGCCCCTGCAAAACAACAGGAATACAGGCGTGAACCACCACGTCCCACCAACTTCTAATATAAAACATTAAAATAAATGTGAGACCAGGGGCAGTGGCTTGTGCCTATAATCCCAGCACTTTGGGAGGCCAAGGCAGGCAGATTGCTTGAGGTCAGGAGTTCGAGACTAGTCTGACCAACATGGCAAAACCCCTTCTCTACAAAAATTAGCTGGGCATGGTGGCACACACCTCTAATCCCAGCTACTAAGGAAGCTGAGGCCAGAGAATCACTTGAACCTGGGAGGCAAAGGTTGCAGTGAGTTGAGACAGTGCCCCTGCACTCCAGCCTGGGCACCAGAGCAAGACTCTGTCTCAAAATAAAATAAATGTGCTGGCCAGGCTTCAGCTCCGGCGGCCCCACTGTGCAAGGCTGGTAGAGGCGCAGAGTCATCCCCATGGCTGCTGTGCCCGACGAACTCACGAACCCTTTAAGCTCCTAGGAATTTTAGATGTTGAAAATATTCCCTGCGCCTGGGATTCAGTATTGTATGGTTCATTAGGATCTGTTGTGGCTAGCTTTGGACATTTTTTGTTAACTAAATTAGATCATGTGATGCTGGAGTAGGAGGATTTATCTTGGTGATTTTGGGATTCTGGTTTCATTGTAGGTATAATTATGCAAAGCAAAGGGTCCAGCAAAGAACTGCCAGAGAAGGAATGAAAAATAAGTTATTATATGAAGGTACCCACCTCAATCCTGAAAGAAAACAAAACAACGATAATAGTAGCAATTGAACAACCTCGAGCATAGAAAACCAGACTCCCTGAAGTCAGTGTGAATGAAGCTAAGATCAACCACGTAAAACATTTCATGTACAATAAGCTCTCAATCAAGTAAATAAAGTTTGTTTAAAAAATAATAATAAGGGCCGGGCGCGGTGGCTCAAGCCTGTAATCCCAGCACTTTGGGAGGCCAAGGCGGGTGGATCACGAGGTCAAGAGATCGAGACCATCCTGGTCAACATGGTGAAACCCCG